AGTTAATAAATCAGGAAGGTGTCATAATCTCGTAAATCTCGTAAATGGGCGAACCCCCCGGGGGAATGTTTACATCGCGCACTTGACAAAATTCACACGTGGAAGTTATCTGCCTGTGTAAAGTCTTTTCTCATGGATAAAAAACATAACTCAAAATTAAAGAGTCCTTGGGTAAAGAAAAAGGAAAAATAACAGGACCAAAGAAGAGAGAAATGGCAGCATTTTTTCCAAAATAAAAAACAGTCCTTGCTGAAAGCGACAAAGGCTCTTGGTTTGGCCAGGAGCCTTCGACAAGCTCGGCATCTCCTGAAGATCGGCTGCATTCGATTATCCTTGGGGCTAGCAGCTTAAAAATTAAAGTCAACACCGCAGAAGGTTGTAAACAAGATTCTTTGTCGGAATCTGACGAAACCGATGGAGAAAAAGAAGAATGCGACAGATTTACCCTTTCTGCCGCGGGTTTTTCCTTCGCCGACTTTGTCCATTACTAAACGAGGAACAGAGCAAGATAAAGGCTGGTTTTCACTGCGAAGGAGTCGTATATAGTCGGAGTCGTAATCAGAAGCGTGGAGCGATACGATCTAGTGAAAATCAAACCGACGGAGTCGGAAGCAGAACACCGATTCTGCCTATGACTAAGTCGCTTACGATGTAGTGAAAACTGCATTGTCGGAGTCGGAAGCGGAAGCGGAAGAATAAAGCAATCACATTCCTCGATTCCATCTTCCCAAAATGCACAAATAGCCGTAACAAATTTAAACGCGTGAGATTGACGGTAAAAATTACGAAATTAAAAGTTAAAATACTCGAACTGAACCAACCGAAAGCACGATTCACGATCACCAAGTCGTAGATCGCTGACGAGGTTACCATACTCTTCCTAGGCTGCTCGACGTCGATAGATATCACGAACCCAAAATTGCTTTCTTTTTCGAACGATATTATCCCTGCATTGTCTCTGCCAGCGCAAAATAATGATTAATAAGCGCCAAAGTTGCTCTTTGTCCGTCATGTTGTCTTTGGCACCAAAATTTGTACTTTCACGGGCCTGGAATCGAGCATTGTGATTGATTTATTCATCCGCTTCCGACTCCGACTCCGACAATGCAGTTTTCACTAGATCGTAAGCGACGGAGTCATAAGCGGAATCGAAAGAAAATGGGAACGTTCTGTTTCTTCCGACTCCGATTCCGTCTAGCTTACGACTCCGTTTTTCGATTTTCAGTAGGTCATAAGCGCTCTTACGACGCAATACTTTTCGCGAGAAAATCTTGATCCATTGTCATTGTCGCCAGGAGGCCTCGTCTTCTCATTGGTTCGCGATTTCAGGAGGCGAGATAATCTCCTGGTGTGGCGCTAGTTGTTTACAAACCTTTAGGAGCTAAAATCTCGCATTTGATTTTGAGAACAATACAATTACTTTGAGCGAATTTATAGGGTATGTAGATTTGAACAATTTTCGTGAAATTTCGCCAAAGCATTCCTGGAATGATGACGACCAAAAGTGTGTCCGGAAGTTTTGATATTTGAGATATTTTTTACGTGGTGCCCATTTACGCAAAACGCTTCGCATATTTTTCGCTACTCTAACTTTACATGCGAATATCAAGACAACCAATCAGAATATCGGAAAAGCCTGACACACTTTTGTTGATTGATGCCTTGCAAATGAGACTGTGCAGCCATTTTTCTCGTGCCGAGGGGTCCGATACCCGATAAATTCAAAAGAAGGACCCTCGGTCGTTTCACGCCTTACCGGCTCCTGATACTTCCTAAATAAAAAAAATCGCCTAAATTATATTTTCATCGTAAATTGCATTTATTAAGCTTTGTTTTAATGTATAGTTTGTTAGGGTTTTCTCTAAACTAGCGCGCGTACGATTTTTTTCCCGAAGGACACCCGCGAAGGTAGGAAGTAACCTTAAGCTTGCATCCTTGCGGGGTGTAACGTCTCTTCAAGTTGTATCCTAAAATATCATTCCCCTTTTCTCGAAAGATCGCGATTAAGGTGGACCTCAATGTGCATTTATTCCATAATTGCTCAATGATCTAAACGACGATTTGTTTATGCGACTGCTCTTTACTTTCAGAACTAAACCAAAAATGAGCATAAAATGCAAAGGTATGCGGCATCGACCAGACAGTTTGTTTTCATGGCTCGTTTGTGTTTGCGCCGCTGTATGTCAAGCACTGAGCCTTGGTTTTGCTGTTAGCTATGGAGTATTGCTCCCTGAAATTATGAAGGAGTTTGGTGAAAGCCGGCAAAAAACTGGTAAGTTTTTTCCTTCCATTGAAAATAATATAACCTCCTCTGTAAGAGGAAACTTGACTTAAATCATGTTGACCGTTGAGTACGACAGGTAACTGCGATTTCATAGACTATGTCGACCATCCTTTGTAACAACACAAATTAATAGCCACTGTTGTCATTACATCGGTATAAGCTACATTACTGGCTATGGAAAACGGAGAACTCTTACAAAAATGTCATCCGCTATCTTTGAGTTTGGCTAATGGTCGAGGGTCGTGGGTACAAGTCGTGGGTGTGGGTGTAGGTAAAAGTCGTGGGTGTGGGTAATACATAACAATTAATGGTTAAGAGCTCATATTTAATAATGTTAATACTTCGAAGTATTATAAAGCTGTTGATCAAATAACTAATCCAAACACTAGAGAGATCTACCGGCGCGTTTACGAGAAACGGCAACCGTCAGCTTGCCCTTTCACGTATCGCGTAAACTAGCGTGAATCTCGCTGCTTTAGCTTCGCGAGACTCACGTCATGTGAATTTGAAGGCGCCCTTGTATGACTTACAAAGAATAGTTCCGGTGCCCTTTTCCCGGAAACAAACTTCTACTATGTGAGAGAGAAAAAGCGAATAAAATCTTACGTACACGGCAAACACGAAGCAGGCTACTTTCACGCACAGCGGACGGCAAAGCGCAACTGGCAAACATGAAAAAATGGCGGGAAAAACAAGGCCAAGTGGTCAGCTCTCGCCGTTCACGTTTCACGTAAACGCGATGCTAAATCCCTCTACTATCATGAGATTCGTATACATAAACAACAAAGTACTTGATGTTCTCCAATCAAAAAGCCAATCTTCGATAACTAAAACCGAAACAAGAAACGATGTTGGTCCCCTCCAAGGTCAGTGACTAAACTAGACCCATGCAAAGATCTGCAAACACGACCATCAAACGTCATTGTTCAGAAATCAAGCCTCAATAATGGTTAAAATGCTCACATATGGACAACGCAATAATCGTTGAAACCCAAACAATTTTAAAAGAACTTATAACAAAGTACCAAACCGCAGAGCAAATTGAAAATGATGACATGCAAGTTCGAATTATCAGACAACGAGACAAGACAGACACTTATCAGGAAATTGATTGTAAGAGCTACGACTAGCTAACACAATCCTTTCCCGCTGACTTTTAAAATCGTTTTCTTTTGCAAATTTCAGTTTGGGTCGGATCCTTTGCGTTAGGATTGACTTTCTTTCTTGGTCCACTGGCATCATTTCTCTGCCAAACGATCGGATGTCGCTGCACAGCCATACTTGGATGTGCAATATGTAGTGCAAGCTTATTCATAACTGCATATTCTCCTGATCTTCAATGGATGTTTCTAACTTATGGCTTTTTGTATGGTTCGGGTGCTTCACTGCTGTTTGCATCTTACTTTCTAATAACAGCGAAGAACTTTCGCAGGTGGCAGTTATTCGCAGTAGGGATCGTATCGGTTGGGGGTAGCATCGGAGTCCTAATAATAGGCCCTTTACTACGGCTCCTGATTGACGTATTTGGCTGGAGAGGAGCATGCAGGATCATCAGTGCACCCCTCATTGCTATGTCTTGTGTCTGTGGAGCTACATTTGGGGATCCTATCGATTCAGATTCTTTCCAAACCACCGCACAGAATTATATTTTTGACGCACGTGAGTCTGCCAGGTTTGCCATGGAAACAGCTAATGTAAACATGAACTTCGTGGAAGATTTTGAAAATTTATCAGTTTATAAGGACCAAACTGGCAAGATTAATGAAGAAGGAAATGGAGCTGATGGAATTGAATCACTGTCCGCAGTCACCTACCAGAATGCTGAACAAATATCATTTACAGTCAAATCACGGCAAGTGGTGGCCAAAGATAATACCCCATTATCCAAATTTTTAGACTTTTCCGTATTTGCAGTTCCTTCTTACACTGTGGCGGTGATGAGCCTTCTTTTGATGAATTTTGGTCATTTCATACCTCAGATACATCTGGTGAGTTACTGGTCGTGATTGTAAACGCATGGCCACAAAATTACATTTCAACCAGTACCAGTTAACACTTCAGTTGAAGAATTTGTACTTCTCCAACCACAACGAAAAAAAACTATTATAAATGATGTAGATCTAAGATACGTAAGATACGGCATATGATACGCAGTTCAGTGATGTTGTGTGAACCCGGGTGCTAGTTATTACTTAAGCTTTAGGAAAAATTATTTTAATGTTGTGTCACTGTCAGCTCTTTTGGTTTAGACATGCACCGGGCATGCACCAAGCATGCACCAGTATCTCGTATCTAAGGATAACGTCTAACAAAGGAATCAAACTGAGCTTTCTTTCCTGCTTATACGCAGGTCAAGTATTGCCTGGAGCTCGGTATTTCTGCTGACTCACCATCCACGCTTTTTATTCTCCTTGGTTTATCATCGAGCGTGGCTCGCCTCGCAACAGGAAGGATTTGTGACGTCACCTGGGTAAATATTATTTATGTTTACCAATTTGGAGCTATGCTCGACGGATTCGCCATCGTTGTTCTTCCAGTAATTAGAAGTTACACAGCTTTTCAAGTGTTTGCTGTGATTTATGGCATTGGCGATGGCATCTTTATTACGACAATGAACTGACTTCTGATGTTCAGTGTGGATGAGGAGCGCAGAGCAGCCGGGTTAGGCCTGGGCAATATACTTCTGTCACTTGGAATAATTTGCGGGTCACCTTTTGCAGGTGAGCAATCCACGACTTATTATTCATTATTTAGTGCATAGAGAGCACAGCTTTAACACTAATTATTTCTGACGACCAGATAAACTCAGTAGGTAATTTGCGAAATAATGTTGCACCGAAAAAAAAGAAAGCATTCAACCCTTGTCATTTTTCAAACTTCTTTCTGCCGGATTGTGAATATTTCTATTGTTATTTTATCTCAGGGTTCCTGGCTGACATCTCTGATCGCTATACTTGGGCTTTTCTGGTGGCTGGTATTGTGGTACTAGCAGCTGGTCTTGTGCCATTAGTTATGTTCTGCCTCAAAACGAAGAAGCAATTTGACTTGACAAAGAAAACAGGAAAGGGTCCTGTGACTTTATATAGAGACGGCAACAATTGTCAGCTACTGAAGCTTTAAGAGATTGCTTTGAGAGACTAAAATTGAGCAGTTTGTATACAAGGTGCGTTAGATATGCAAGAAAGCCAATATCGCAACTTACAAGAAGTATATCAACTTTACCACCTGTAATGCTGCTAGGGAAGGAAGTAAAGCCTTCCTCTGTTACCAAAGACTTGGGTGTACACATCGGTTGTCACCTTAACTATAACGAACATATTGCGAAAACTGCTTCAACCTGTACGTACATGTTAAACCGCGTTAATAGGATAAAACATCTCCTGGACAGTAAAACTCTTGTTTTCTTGATGGACACTTTTATATTTAGTAGTTATATTATTGCTCCACGGTTTGGAGCAACACGACAAAAGAAAACATCAAAAAACTTCAATTAATCCAAAATTTTGCATGTAGAATCGTTTTAGGCCTTAAGAAATACGACGATATCACGGAAAGCCTGAAATCCCTAAATTGGCTCAATGTGAACGATAGACTGCTTACAAACGACTTATTAATGGTCCATAAGTGTATTCATGACCAGATACCCAGCTACCTTACTGGAAAATTTATTCAGCGTTGGAAGATTCACGACAGAAACACTAGATACAGGGGTGAATTAGACCTCCCAATTTGTAGATTAAAAACAGGGCAACCATCATTTGCTTTTCGGAGTGCAAAGCAATATAATAACCTTCCAAACGAGATTAAGAAAACCTATGACGTAAAAAAGTTTAAGGCTAAAGTCTATAATAATTTTTTAAATCTGTAATTTTTAATTTTAGCATATTATGATATATTCATGTAATTAGTTGTTAACATTGACGGCGGAAGAGCCCCAGACAGGGAGCTGTTCAAAAAAAGTATGTATGTATGTATGTATGTATGTATGTATGTATGTATGTATGTATGTATGTACGTATGTATCGGGCAGCTAGAAATTTCTTGAGTACCAGGGGCTGTCCATAAATTGGAATTTTTGTTTAAGATGGGTTCGACGCCGGCGCCTTATTGCGACACGGCGAATGATCTACTGTCACATGAAGTTGCCTTGAGAATAAAAAATGCTCTGACTTACTCTAAGAGGCTCATCTCGCTTAAGGCAACCTACGGACCTTTCAGCCCAACAGGAGAAGCATGAACGAAGCGAGAACCAAGAGATTATTTTTTGTTTTCACTTGATGCGACCCACGGATGCAACTCCCACGTGTGACCCACGCGTTACCTGCTTGACCTGCTTGCGTAAAAGCAAACGGAAATGATTGCCACGCTTGTTACACGTAAAGATAGATAATCCTTTGATGAATGATTAAAACCATACTTTCTGTTATGATGCTTCCAAAATGAATCCCACAACGATCGTAAACTCCTAAACATCAGTGAAGATGAGAGTAATCTTCGCAGAAATGTACACTACTTAAGCAGTAGTAAAAATAACGCCCGAAAAAAATTCAGCCTGTATGGAAGTTTAACCCTTAAATCCTAAACATCACAAGAAAACCCTGATACATGATGAGTATGTGATTAAAAACATTTCATAATGGTCAGAGGAATATACGTGAGAAAAATAGTGCTTAGGAAGCCTTTACAGATGGGGGCATTGGGGTCCATTAGAAACCGCAAAACCGAAGAAAAAAATCACGAAACCACAAACCGAAAAAAAGTTCGATCAAAACCGAAAACCGCAAGCAAAACCGTCCAAACCAATAAATTTTCACATCCCAGTTATCAAAACCTTAATCGATCCGATACAGTGGGGACAAG